ATCAGGCCGAATGAGCGTGCCACGGCTCCAAACCCGTTCTGAAGCGGCTACGCGACAATAGTAGGTGGAAAACGAGTGATACGGATATGGTACAACAGCCAATCAACAACTGGGGGAGAACGGCTTTGGCACTGCGCCAAACTCATCGCGTCGTTTCGTCCGCAGGGAGCTAGAGAATACACTGTCTTGAAAGGCATGGAGCTCCCTATGAAAAATATACAACATTTTGAAAAAGCATTTCATCTACTGCACAAAACTTTATGTAAGAAAAACGTCATCACTCATAGGCCAACCCAAAATACACTCCAATTCCCTGAGATGCTGTGGGCGTGGCTACGTACCTTCGGTTGGTCATAGAGACGGTTGCGTTTTTGGCGGGATATTTTCAAAGCGGGACAAACGTGACTATGTCTTGTTCAACACAAGACAAGATGACAGTTACCTCAATTTCAAACATATCACGAAAAACCCATCGTTCGAATGAAGTACGCAGCCACGCCTACCGCGCCTCAGAGATATGGAGTGTATACATGGTTGACATATTGATTATTATTAAATTTGAGCTGAACAGAATTATATCAAAACGTAAGACGGACTCCCTGTTATTGAAAGCGTCTCATTGTCAGCTCCATCAAGGTTATCGTCAAAAGCCCGATCTGGATTGGTACGCTTGCAATCGGTCTTCTCTATGGTTTGTTCTGTTTTTCATAATTTTTTACAATACCAGTTTGTTATGTCATTTTTTATCATGGTCTCAGGGATATTGAGCGCAGCAACGCAGCGTTCGTCTCACCAAAATTGTTTTGTGGGTCCGCTGTTAATATTTTCTTATCTATGTGAGCGATCGATATTTCATAAGAAGGGTATTAAAACCAATTAGAACATTAGAATAGCAAAAAAAGACTGAAAAAGGCTGTCGCTGTGTCTATGAGCGATTTGCGCTCGTTGCCGTCACGAGAATAAAGTTCAGGAGGTAGGACATACAGTACCCCAAAAAGTTGCGCGTAAAATTAAAAATGTCACGCCGTGAGCACACACAGTCGCGCTCGCGTGCGTCTCTGCGACCATGCAAATAAATGCGGCTTATACCCAGAAAGAAAAAAAAACACTTTTCCTGTCAATGGCCCACTCGCGGGTTATAACAAACAAATAAAAAATTCCTTCCAGGTAGCTATAAAAGTTACTAAATAATACATGAAGTTCTAAGGAGAAGTAACGAACCTTCACTCGTGAACTCAGTCTCGTTCCGCGGTCCACCACGTTGCGCGTCTTTTTCATCGCGGGCGTTTTTCAGCTCCTTAAAACAGCTTTCAATCAGCTTGCGGAGGAACGTTCTACCATAAAAAACGGACACAAATTGTGGCCGTGCTAATCGTCTTTGATTCTCTTTTCTCTCTTCCACATCTAACACGATAATCGTCCAGTCAAACGTTCGCACTTTACTACACGCACGCACTTTCACAAAGACACTTTAAACGCCACTGTGTAGTGAACGGAATGCAGGTGCCCACATGTTGCTGCTGTTCCATGCAGCTCAGTCTCCTATAGGTAAGGGAAAGAGTCACGGTAATGTGGCCCTTGTTTCAAACATCCCTGTGTTATGTATTACAGTCTTGTTCGCTGTAGACGCTTTCCGGAGGGTTGGATTTGACGCGGCGCTAATAGCTTTTTCACCAACTGTGGTCGCATGCTAAGCAATAGGTGACGTCGCCTGCCAGCTTCCAGAATCGGGGGGGGGGAAACAGGGCGACGCACGCCAAACCTAGCCCCCCCCTGACGCGCCTCAGCGTCCACAGCGAACAAGACTGTATGTCGTACAACGCCGTGTAACGCGTTCACGAATGTCTGGATAACGTCAAAAGGATGGTCCATAGAAAAGTAGGTTGCTCTACACCTCGTAAGCTACCACTTATCCTTTCACCTCTTCAGAATCTCCCCCTTTGAGCTTACAGTAGAAATGGTCTAGTTGGATTGGCCCGAGTATGGTAGTACTGTAGAGAGGATGAAATTTGAACAAGTT